ATTCGAAATTTCTTAGCCTTCTTCCTCAAAAAGTAAGATGTAACAAATCAGCGAAAAAATGTTTTAAAATTTTTCAAATCTAGAAAGTTCTGCGAGATAAAAATTTTGTCAGGTTGCAACAAAAAATTGTAACCATCTTTAATATTTTTTTGTTTTTTTTTCTAGGTAAATTTTACAACGGCGGCTGAATTTGTTATTTTCCAATCATACACGTTGGATAATTTGTAAAAGTGCACTTGAGGTGCTCAACTGGAACTGACTATTTTGGTTTTTACACTCCTAAAACAGAGACTAGACACGACTGCTGTTTATCAAATCAGTCAAAGTGTCCCAACCGCTCCTCAGGCTGGAAAAAAATGCTACGAGCAAGGAATGAAATAGTTGATAAACTGAAAGATTAAAACTTTTTTCGTTTTATTGCCCAAGCTATATATTATACAAATGAGGTATATGAGGTTTTGCACTGTAATGAGAACGCAAAAAAGATTGAAATCAGTTCAATTTAGAATGGAAAAAAAATATCTCTTTTTGAATTATTGTGGTTAAAGTAGTCCCATTTTTAAAACCTCAAAAAATTAGAAGAAATCATAAAAAACGATTTTTCCAAGGAGAACTTAAGTCTGCGATATATTGCAGGTGGTAAAAGTTTTGGTCAAAAATCTTGTTGAAAAGTGAAATTTTGACTGAATAAAAAATTAATCCAAGCTTAAAAATTTGCCGATTTCTTCAGACACGGATTGAAAACATTGGTTTCGAATCAAAGCTTGGAATCAATGATTTGATTTAGAATTAATTATTTGACTTGGAATCAATGATTTAATTTGGGGTTAAGTTTATGTGGGAAAATTTATATCATGCGTTAGTTTTTCCATTTTGATATAAAGTGTTGATTTGAATTATCCGAACAAAAAGAAAAATACTTGAGCATTAAAACTGTCTTCTTTCAAACTGTGCTGATTTTAGACAAAAATCGTTGAGAACAAAATATATATAATATTTTAGCAGAATCAATAACATTATGAGGTCAAATTGTGTATTTTGTGAATTGTAAGCTCTCTTTGTTTTTTTTTATTCTTTCGTTTTTTTATCAATCCGACAAAATTTTAACAACTTTAAAGATTTGTCTCTGGAATCCATTAGACACAAACAAAAATGGGCGCATATCCAGTGAATAGTTTGATTTCGCATTGAAGGTGATGTTTCCTTTTCAAAATTCCAGACAAAATTTTTACCCAAAAAAGGAACTATTTATTGGCTTTTTATTGAATCCAAAATTACGCTCCGAGAAAGTTTAAAAAAGTATAATTTCCCAGCAAACGTAAAAATTGATTTTTTTTGTTTGATTAACAAGAAGTATCTTTCTTACTATAGAAAAAAAACCACTGTTTGATATGGACACAATTTTAAAAATTCGTTTTTCTCATTTTTCAGAGATAATACTCTTACTCTTTTTCAAGTTTGTTGTTATCTGCTATAATTATTGCTCAGTCTAATATAATTATTTTAGTTTTTTAGCGGTAGTTTTAGCGTAGTTTTGGATTGACTAAAGAAGCCAAAAAATAACCCGTTTTGGGGTAAAATAATTGGAGGAATTTTGAAAAACAAATTCCTTCTTATTTATTCTGCTAAAATTCTAAGCAAGTTTGGCTTTCATCATTTTTTGTCTAAAATCAACAAAATTTGAGGGAATCGCGTTTTAATTTTCAAATGCGTTTTATCCGGATAATTCAAATCGGCATTGTAAATGCGGCAATCAAAAGTTAAGCAGCGATCGTTTACAATCTTAAGCGGAATTGGAGTGGTTTTCTTTGATAATTAGCGTCAGTAACTTCCCGCTCTTTATAAAATGCGTGTAAATTATTCTGAAATTTTCCCGCCTTTTTCGGCACTATTGTACTTCGGCACTGTTGAACGCCCCCGTTGATTTAAACTGAATCCCTGGATCCACATTCAAAATCCGATCCTTTAAAATCGCCTCAAAATCGCCTATGAAATTTGCCAGCAAATTGTTGGAAAATCAGTGTACCCAGTAAGCTTTAATTTCTTCTCAATCAGAGTAAATCAGATTTTAGTGTTATTTGTTAGAATAACTATTTTCAACGAAAAAAAAACAAGACACGTGACAAAAGTTGAGAATTCTTTCGAAAATTTCAAAAAAAGTTAAGATCTGATCAAGTCTGATGCAGTTCAGGACAGAAATGCAATCTCACAACAAATGGATTCACCCTGGGTATATCTGTATTTTTATTTTTTTCTGTAACATTAAAATTTTTGTATCTTCCAGGTCTGAACATGTCTGATACAGTTCAGGACAGATATGGAATCTCACAACAAATGGATTAACCCTGGGCATATCTGTATTTTTATTTTAATTTTGTATGGGCAGCATTTTTGATTTTTATAAAATTTCAACATTTTTTGTGAGACCAATTTGAACAATTTTCTATGCTATGATTCGTTTAGCCGCAAGAATTGTTACTTCAGAAAACAAATCATTGTATGAAATTGATGAATATATAAACAAATTGGAGTACTTTTGCTATTTTAGACCAGCTTTTCCCGATTCCTCAAACAAATCATTGAGTGCAATCTCCACTTGCACTTGGGTAGCTTTAACTGGGAGCGGCAAAGACAAAAAGCGAGACACAAGAGGTCAAACTGCCACATCCTTTGAGGTCGTCGAGGTCAAATAGAGCAGCTCAATTTGGCAGCTCCAATGAAATATAGTGGTTAACCAACAATATTCACCCACTTAAATTCAACAAAGACAAAAACAATTTCTGGAAATTTTCTCAGTAGTTCTGAGTTTTTTTAGAAAAAAAAAATCTGTACAATTTGTTTAATAATCGTGATTTTAGTTTTAGCCGCTACACTTTTATGCAAGTAATTCTGCTAGTCATACAAACTTTTTTTTCGTTTTTTTTGTGCCATTAAAACTTAACATATTTTGAAGGCATACTAAAGCTGATGGCATTTTTTAAAGACCTATTCTGGAAATCGATCAAGGAGAGCAGTAATTTTTCGAAAAAAGAGTTAATGCAAGCTTGTTCAAGCGCTACCGTAATAATCGGAAACTTTTCAAAAACTGATAATCGGATTCAGCCGAAACTTCTTAGTCAGTTTTTGCCTCTCAAATACTTGGATAAGAAGAAAAAACTCTGTCAATATGAACATTTTCACGCCACGCCACACAAAACTAAAGAAGACTACCTAATTGAAACGAAATAACAGCAAGGATAACAGTCATTGAATGTTAGTAGCATCTAAAACACTTTTTTTTTAATTCTTTTGTTTCAGTTTTATCTCGCAAGTCATTACTTTTAAAGATATCAATAGGACTTTAGATTTTGTAATTAGCGCGCGAGTAAAAGACCTTTCAATCGGAACCGCCACAACAATAAACCTGATACATCCGTTTGGCGATGTATGAAGAGACTGTGTAAAGCTTTTTTTGGCACTAACGCAGATGAAATAGTCAGCAAATCTGGAAAATATGGTCTCAAAAATCTTTTATGCGAGGATGATCTTAAAATGTGAGTGGAAAGTTCAAAAATTGAGGGGGATAATTTCTTCCTTTTTGATTCGGAGTTGGATGACAAAGACCGAGTGCTAATATTCGCAACCGATGAAAACTTGGAAACTTTGGGAAACAACACAGCCTGGCATGCAGATGGGACATTTCAAGCATGTTATGCATTTATTTATAAAAAATTTTCATTTTTAATACCGTGGTTAACGATCAACTGCTCCATAAGTTTTCTTCCTAGCTCGAAACAAAAGTGAAGAGCAATATATTCAGGTCCTCAGACAATTGAAAGAAACAAAACCAGGCCTTGATCCCTCAAAGATTGTGGTTATTTTTAATTTTCAAAGTCTCCAATTAGTGCGTTTCAGAAGGTATTCAATGGAATAACTACAAAAGGTTGCTTTTTTCATGTCGCTCAGGCCAATTGGCGCAAAGTTCAAAAAATCTGATCAGCGCCAGTGTATCGAGTGAATAAAAAAACAAGGAAACTTTCAAAGTAAGGCGTTGCTTTGGCACTATTAGCTGAGCTCGAGTTTGAAATCGGCATGGCTGTTTATACTTTAAAATTTAACCAACTATCCTCCTATGGCACAGAGGGGTTGAGCAATTCCCTATTTTTTTCTGGAATCAAATCGCAAACAATAATTGGGTCGAGAAATGGCATAGAACCTTCCAGATGGGGATGGGGTGCGCTCAACTTACCATTCACAAATTTATCCAATTCAAGAGAAAAGAACAGATTCTTTCGGAGAACAAATTGGCAAGAAAAATTGCCATAAAAAATGCCGCCAAAGAGACAAATTACGAAAAAAGCCGAGCCAGATTAGCTGAACTCCTTAAACTTCATAGCACTTTTGGTATTCTGAAGCAGTTCGAGGGCCTCTTGTTAAATTTGGATTTATAGTTTTTTTTGTTCTTTAATTTAACCTTTTCATTTATTTTCTTGTGATCTGATCAAAGCCTTTACCGCTACTAATTGTCGTTGCTACGAGTCGTCGCGCGCTGCGAACAGTCGCTCGTCGCTTTTTACAAGTGCTGCGAATGGTCGCTTGCGGCGAATTGTCCCATGCCGATGCTTTATCCATACAAAATTGATCCAGCAGGGGCTTGGAGATTTGCAAATGATTTCAAGGAAAAAAAGCGGGTAAGAGCAAACTGAAAATTTTCAGACTGCGGATCAGTTGCCAAACAAGGCGCGGTGAAAAAAACCAAAAGGAAAAATTCTCAGAAATTTTCTTCTTAGAAATGCTCAGAAACTTCTTAAAATGTTTCAAGTTGACTAATTTAAAAAAAAAAATGGATCACCTTGGAGTATTATTTGCTTGCTTGCTGAACAATGCAATTTAAAACGCAAAAATTTCTTACTGCGTTGCTTCATCTAGAGATTTTTCTTGATACTGGTTTTTCTCTGCCACACCTGATTTAGCTTAAAAACAAATTTATCAGATTTTATTCCCATTAATTGGATCAAAAACTAATACAACTGAACTACTTAAAGCATGACATGTTTTCATAGCACTAGAATAACTACGTAAAATACTACCGTAAAAACTATTCATACACTTAAGACTCTTAAAGCCAGGATACTTTGTATTGCTCTAAAATAACTCTAATTTAAAAAGTTCTGTCACATTTATGCAAATTGTTAATACTGTTAAACTTATGCATAGATAGTTAAAGCACGACTATAGGTAGCTAAAGCACGACGATTATTGAACTAAAACAAATTACATGATTTGAAATACTAATGTTAAAACAAAGTTTAAGGGTTCAAATAGTCATCTAAAACGAGAATGACAATGAGCTAGAGATTTGCAGCTTGGTGTTTCTAGCTTGCATAAGGCTAGCACGGTGAAATGACGCAGGCAACTATACACAGTCGAGGGCAAATAGCATTTTGACTCCGCTTTTGACATTTGAAACACCTGAAACGGACCTTTGCTTGTAAAAACAAAACATTGGCAATTATTTTTTGAGAATAAAATTTTAAAATGATTTGAGAGAAGCTTAGAGCTCTCAAATTTTTCCAGCACTAATCCATTTTGCGACTAAAACCTCCCGCTATCTGGTTTAAACATTTTTGAGACCTAGATTTTTAAACTGGTTTTCCAAACAATTTAAGAGATCAATTTTTTTCCATTTTTTTTTCTTTTTTTTTCTTATTAAAATTGATCTCTCGAGTAAAGCGACTGCTTTATTATCAAGTATATTTATCGCTTTTTGAATTTTAAGCTTTAGAACTGGTTTAGAGAAGCTGTAATTTATTGCTTAAAAAAACTAACTTTTTTTTATTAATTTCCGAAGTTGAAACCTTCTGCGGTTTTTGCAACGCATCCAGCTGCCATTGTTTTGAAGCAAGTTTTTTTTATTCAATTTTTTTGGAGTTTTTTTTTGAAAATTGAATTTTGTTTAAGCAAATATCATTTTTACCATTTACTTTTATGATAATCTCATTTAAGCAAAATCATCTAAAGAAAAACTGAAAAAAAGCTAGAACCTTTTCTATTTGGAGTCAATCTTAACACTGATAGTGAAATGTGTTGCCGGTCTTGATGAAGCATCTTGAGAAACATCGTTGGAGACCTCGGAAGCCGAGCCTCGGTTGCTTTCCCTTGAATACTCTTCGTTACTGGAAACACTTCGTGCCTCTATCACCAGCATTTGTAGCTAAAATTTTTTTGAATTGTTCAAGTGTCCGGGCCAGATTTTTCATATTTTTCTCATAAAAAGATGGCGTTGTTTTGTTCTTACGTCCATAAGCTAAGTTGAAACACCATTGGTTTAGAGATTATTAAGAGAAAATGTTTAAAAAATTCGAAAGATCTTTCTAGATTAAATAAAAGGGTTGAAAACTTTCACCACCCAGCGGAATATTAAGCCCGCGGAAAAATCAAGTCTGATTTTTTTTTCGTTCTAATGGTCAAATTTTGCAGAAGTCAAAATGATGAAATAAAAAAAACAGTTTCAAAATTTCGAAGTAAGAAAATGATTATGACAATTTACCTGTTCCTGATCGATTTTGCCCATGATAGAAGCCAGGGTGAATCCAGGGTTCCGACGAGTGACGAGGTCGGCGTCGGTAGCTTGAATACTTGGATACTGGCGCTTGGTTTTCTCTGCTTCTTGATATGTGTACATAAATTGCAAAGCAACTTTGGAAAACTCCGTAAGCGCCATGTTAATTGGCTCTGACTTTTTCATAGATTGTAGGCTCGCAGTTTTTCTTCAACTTGGTCGGGTTTGACGAATTGGTTTTGTAATTCGAGTTTTCACGAATCGAGCCGAAAAAAAGTACTTAATTTATCAATGTGTCAGTTTTCTCTAACTGACTGACAATTTAACCAATTTGAAAATAGTGGGTAGGTTTTCACTCAGGAATTTAATGGAAAGCAAAAATTTTCCCCGTATTTGTCGTTAGTGATTCACCGGTTAGACTTCAATTTGAAAGCAATCATTTTTACCGCTGAATACCAATTAACATCATCTTGACTGACAAAAACACCAATTTGACGATGTTGAATTGTTTGCACTTAGGTAATTAAGGGAAAGAAAAAAAGAAAAGACATATCAATTGATCGAGAGGAACTGGCTAGAATTGAATTTGAAAACAACCTTTTTTATGCTGAATACCAACTAAATCCTTTTGTTGACTGACGTAATCACCAATTTGGTGGTTTTTTCACGTAGGCAATTTCAAGGAAGACGTGAATATGAAACGCATTAGTTCATATAAAGACACAGGTTAATGAAAGCAATCTTTTTTACCGCTGAATATCAAGTAGTTCATCACATTTACGAGGAAATTTACCGCTAGTTTAGAAGTGGAAGGTATTTTATCGCTTAGATAATTTAAAGGTTAACTCAAATTTGTAACATTTTAGTTGATTGAGAGGCACCGGCTAATTTTTGAATTTGCACTCAAAAAACATTTTATTCATTACCATTCAATTTTAACTAACTCCTTGGGCAAATAACTTTTTCAATTTGACTTGATTGATACAAGCTTTGGTTCCCTCAAACAGAAGTTTTATTTCCAAGACTAACTAAAAAGTATCAATTGGTCGATGTCCTTTTAAATAGATGATGCCATCCATATCTTGCAAAACAATTTCTTTTGTAAGATCTTGCATTTGACCATAGCTATCTTGCAAAACCTTGCCATATTCATAGATATCTTATCAGCAGCGGCATCCTCAGTATCTTAATATCTTCAAATCTTGCTATCTGTAAGACCTTACAGGAAAGTGTGACATCTGAACTAGATTATTAGAGCAGTGTTGCAAATGATAACTGAAAATCAATTTCAATTTTCATCGAATCTGCGGGTTTTTTACCATTTTTTAACTTCAAATTATGCTTCCAATTAACAAACTAGACAATCGGAAAGTTTATTAGCGCTATCCCAACTTTTTTTTTGCTTTTCTATGATAATTTTTAACCAATCTAAAAATAACTGGTTGCAGCGCAATTAGAGCCGATTGTTCCAATACCAATGATCTAAAAAACTCAAAATCTAGGAAACAATTTTTCATAATAAAAAAAACAGTGGAATTTTTTTATTGTTTTTTTTTCTTTTTTCTGTCAACGGTTTTCATTTTTTCTGGACAAGGCTGATAAAATTTAAGACTGATATATTGTGTGGTAAAATTAACAGGTAAATTATTTGAAGATATGTTTAACTTGTAGGTCAGTCTCTAGATGAAAAACCAATCCATTTTTGTCCGAACGAACCAAAATTTTTTCTAAGTACGCCTTCGGCGCCAATATATATTCAATTTGAGGGGGAGCGCGCGCCAAAAAAAACGCAATTGTTTTGTCAACATTTTCCAAAAAGTGCCCAAAAACAGCTTTTTTGACCTGTTTTTTTTTTCAAAAATTTGCCTGCGGCGCAGAAAATATGGCCAAAACAGGGACTATTTACTGCTTTAGGAGAGCTCGGAAAATCAATTTGGTCGACCTAAAAAAAAGTCGTCAAAATTTTTGAAGTTTTTTTAAAATTCCAAACCCCCTCCAGAAAATCCTAGATCAGCCCCTGCTTTGTTTATTAATTTTCAATGCTGAGCAGCTCTGCTCTTCATAGTTACAAACAAAGTCCAATAGTTTAGTAGATTGAAAATGATAAGAGAAAACACAAAAAAGTTTGTGGGTGAAAATTAATAGTTTTGGATTTAACAGATTATGTAAAAGGTTACTTGTGTGATTGAGGCAAAACTTGAACACTTTTTCAATGCTGAAAAGTTTATATTTCCATGCTTAAGGTCAATAATTAAATAGCTTTTCAGATGAAGAGAACGTACCATAACCTTGATGAGCAATACTACATACGATGGGGCAAAAGTCGAAAAACACTCAGTTTTTTGCACATAGTTTCAATGCTTAGCACTTTTTGTTTCATGAGTTTGGGCAAAGAGTCAAAAGTTATTAAGAAGCAGATGAAGAAAACAAATGATCTATATATATATGGAGAGCAAAAAGACTATTGAGAGCATAAAGTCGGGTAATTTATGGATTTTGTGACGCATAATATGTATGATGAGACAAAATTCGGCTAAGTCTTGAATTTTTCAACGTGGTTTTTCATGAAGAGCAACTTTTGTGGTGATGTCTACTAGCAAGTCAATTTTCCTATTAAGTTTTGATTTCTATTTGTTGAGAAGGTCAGCACTGCACTTATTCATATTAAATTAATGATTTGAACCTTTGAAGTACGTTTTTAAACCATTATAAAATTGCGATCCAAGTTTTTGCATAGCTTCAAATGGCGTATCACAATCATCAACATTTTCAAGCTATTTGTAGCAAATAATATCACGAGAAAATTTGAATTTTTCAGGTTTTATTAATAGCTTGATTTGCAAATATATAGATTTCAAATAATGCAATTTCAAAACTTTGTTTGGAAAGCCTATATTTGTTCAGCTTCCATTGAATTTCTTTTTGAATTTTAATCAGAGCATTAATGATGAAAATTGACTTGAATGCAAACGCAAATGTTTGAATTGCGAAAAAAAGAAGTTAAGTTTTTTAATGCAAGGTGTCCTGTTTTTTTTTAAGTCAAAATTCTGATTGACTAAGTTGTTTAAAGAAAAAAATTTAAGTTTGATTGAATTAAGCAATTCAATGGATGAAAAAATGGAATAAATCAAATTGTTTGAAACTTGTTCATTGATTTTCAAAATTAAAAATTTTTGGGAGCAAACATTTCAAGCGATTTAATTTTTTGGTTTCCATAATTTGGTACCCCAACAAGACATTGAATCAAAGAAATTGGACTATAATTCAAATTTTTTTGATGACGTGATCTAATTAGTAAAAAAAATTTGGGGGCACGCTAATCAATAGATAAAAACATTTATCATTTCGGGTATTTTGATACCCATAAAAGGGTCCATTAAAAAAATCCAAAGCAGATTCTCAGCAAAGAAACTTGAAAAACTTCCATTTGTTTGGGTGGCGCTATTTTGTTCGCGAAAATGCCAAACTTATATAGCAAACATTCAATTTACGAAGTTTTGAGGCATTTTTTAAAATATAGAAATAGTTTTTTGAATTAGTTAGAAAGACTAAAAAACTTTCTGAGTTATCGGTTCAAGCGATGAAACTTTAGAATATTTTATTTTGTGTTGATGGCTTGATGGTTTTAAAAAAGAATATAGTTTTTGTGACGCAAGCTGCCAAAGGATTCAATTTTGAAATTGTTGCAATTATTTCAAAGTTTTGAATTATTTTGCCAAGTTTCAAAAAGCGTTTTCTCAAGGAAACTTTCAACCAATCTACTTTTAAACATTTCAGTTTGTTTCGTTGAGTCTTAAGGCTCTATAGGATAAAAACCCCAAACATTTTAATTTTTATCCACGTCCCACCAACCCATCGTGCAAATCTGATAGCAAGAGGCGCCTCGCGAATCTCTAAGGCGAGTAAAAGCCTATAAATAAGTTTGCAACTAAGTAGTTTGGTTCATTTATTCTAACTTATGTGATGATTTCTCTGAAGTTTCCGAAAAAAATGATTGAATGTTCACTGTTTTCTATATTAGAGACCCTGTTTATTTTGTGTGGTTTTTGTGACCCCTATATCACATATGTATAGCCACCAGGCAGGTAACAAAAACCTATAAATCGACCCGCTGTGTTGTCAATATTCTTTATTGCCTCTTATGTGAAAAAACTGGTGCTATTTGTAAGAAAATTTTTAGTTCCATTTATTTATACTATTTTCAATTTCGGTTTTAAACATTCGAATCTGTAACTCAGAAAAAAAATTTAAATTGACAGTGAAGACTTCTTTTACATTTGACTTTTACCTAAACAAAAAATCTCAAAGTAAATTTTCTCAAGACTACCGAAACAATTAATAAACATTCTGGAATGGCTATGCTTTTCTCTCAAGTCTTTTATGAACGGATATTCCTCCTAAAAATTCTCAACATGCGTTCACGAAGAATTTGGCTTTACGTATAAAAATTAGTCAGTCAAAAAACAAAAAATTATGAGTAATTAGGGTTTACTCCAACCCGAACCGTGATGACCCCAACCTCAGTATTCTCCTAAGTAATTCTGATGTGATCTTGTGTGATTGGCACCTAAAATAACACTAATGAAGGCCAATAATGTAGGCTAATGTAAGCCATAGATTGTAGGCAAAAAAGCCGAAGAGCCCACAAATCGAAAA